GGTCAGCATCAAGTCACGAGTCAAGCATCAAGTTTGCCTTGGTGGTCTCAGCATCCCTCAGGTGCTGGTGTGTGAAAGAAGAAAGGCCTCCTGCTGAATTCTGGGCTTCCTATGCCACAGGGTCACTCTGACTTGCAAAGTACACAGTGACAAGGGGAAAGGGCTGGTGACAATGGGGGCCGCTTTTAAAACAAGGTTGCACTAAAGATCAATTTGCATTACACCTGAACTGGAGGCTCCACTGGTGTAAATGTGTCACCTGTACTGACCTTCACTGAATGGGAGGTTCACGCCTATGCTGCAGGAATTTCAATTCAGCAAATTATGCGTAAAACACATAGACCCACAACTGAATGTAAACACAGCAGAAACCTGGCAACAGAGAATGGGGCTCCACAAACGTGTACAGAGACTTCACATGGAGAGCATCCTCCAGAGACAGGGATTTCTGTTCTTCCCCATTTCTACCCTGAGGGCTTTCAGCTGGACTTGGGAATAGTATTGTTACCAAGAGCTGATGATGTCACTCTCTGGATGGTAACATAGTTAAGCACCACCAAATGCAAAGCTCACAGACACTAAGATGCCCATTTGGGATTGGGTGTTTTAGTCAATAGTCTCTTCTGTGGGTTTCCTGTCTTTCTCATTAGATAGTAAGTCACATGGGCTGGGGCCACTGACCTGTCCAGCAACCTCATCAACATCTATTTCCCTTTATCTCTGAGAAAGAAATGACTGCTCGTTCCCTGGGAATAGCTGCCAGGAGCAGACTTCCCGATACACAGATGTGATTAAGAAAGAATTCAATTAACATCCCCTTCAGCTGACTATGGGGACATGCTGCTAAACACTGGGTTTGGGCTCCAGTGAGCATATATGTTTGGCCATGTCTGCATGCATGTGGTTGTATGTAGCTGTATGTATAGGCCTATGTATGTACATGCGTATCTGAGAGTATAAGTATGTGGACACACATGTAGGCAAGCAAGTACATGTGTACCTATGTATGAACCTCATGCTTACACATGTGTGCATGCATGATAGCATGTATGCATGTTAGTGTATATGAACATACCCCCCACAAGCATCTTGTGCACTGGGGAAAGATCTCCATGGAGGAAGGAGCGAGCTCTGGAGATGGGTAAAAACATTCTGCAGTGCCCATGAGAGTGGAGTTCATAACGCCTTGTAAGTGTTAATACCCAGAAGTCCAAAGATTTTGAAATATATATATTCTCAGACTGCTTCTAATGAGAACAGTCATCTACTAATTCCTATTTGGAAAAAAAAAGCATCATTTCATCTTTTAAAATGTGGCACAGAGCTTGGCAGTGGTGACACACACCTTTAATCCCAGCACGTGGGAGGCAGAGGCAGGTAGATCTCTGAATTTGAGGCCATCTTGGTCTACAGAGCAAGTTCCAGGACAGCCAGGGGGAACTCAGAGAAACACTGTCTGGGAAAACAAAACAAAATATGGCATAGAATTTGGACACTGTTAATGTCTAACACCTGCCTCTGCACTTCAAAACAGGCTTGGAAGGATTGGCTACAAGATGACACTTCTGGGCAACAAAATAACAGAAGGGACCACCAAGGAGCAGTAAGCAAAGACAAGATAGAGGGCAGGAATATGTTATCAGGAGATGTCTCAAGAGCTCAGAAGGGGAGAAAGCACCTAGCCCGGATATCGGGATAACAGCCTGCTTCACTTGTCTACGTTTTCTAAGAAGAACCTCAGTGATTTCTTTTCTTGCATTGTAGTGAAAACATGTGAAGGGTTAACTTTCACTTAAAGAGATGATACTTCTCAGGGCTGAAGAAGACACAACTTTGGTTCTCATTGCCCATGTAGGCTCATGACCACCTATAACTGCAGCTCCAGGGGATCTGACTCTTCTGGCCTCTGTAGGCATCTGCACTCATGTGCAAGCACTTAACTACATACATACACACACTACTTTAAAAAATAAAAATTAAAATTAAAAATAAAAAAGGTTGGGGATGGTCACGATGCCTTTAAATCTAACACTCAGGAGGCAGAGGCATAGTTAAAGAGGCATAACGAAAAGAAAAGCAATAATTAGGAAAAAAAGATTGCAATCGTGTCAGAGGTCTCCAGATTTCTGAACTCAGGGAGGGCTGGTTTAAGGTCGTTGTAAGAACGAGGGAAGTGCACTGAACACTGACTCTTGGTTACACTCGATAGTTCCTGGGGGTGTGATGATACTCAGTGACAACCGGGAGTCCCCTACATGGGGAAACCATGTTCTAGAACAAGATCCTGCCAACACTCCTACCCACATCTACATGAGAGTTAAATTCCTTACCATGCCTGTGGTTGGGGCAGAGAGTCACTCCACTGCACTGTCCAGAGCTCTTGGTCTCAGGGGACAGGGGACAGCCCAGCACAGTTCTGCTCTCAGACACTGTCTGGGGAAGGCGGTGGCTCTGCCGGGACAGGAAGCATCACTCCAGCTGCTTCTCATCAATCAGCTGTCAGCCCTTCCTACTGTTGGTTCTGATGGTTCAGACGCATGAGGCAGGAACTGGGATAGGGAAACTGTCAGTGTGTGCTGGGGTGGGGGAAGCTAGACCAGCCCAAGCCCTGCCATTCCAGCCATCATGAGTAGTAGAACCCAGGGAGCCGTCTGAGTTTGCTGTTCTTTTTGTTCCCTTGTCGCCCACCGAACTCCACGGAACAGAAACATTTAGGAAACATGAAGACTATCCCGACAGAATGAGAAAAGCTGGTTCCTCGGTGCTGCCATAGGGGCTTGGTTTGGGTTTCAGGAAGCCAAGCTCCAAAGCTGCTCTCTAGGGAATGGCTAGGGTCGCTCCTCCTAAGAGGTGTGATCCAGGTAGACCCTAGCTAAGGTGGGCATGGTGGCCAGGTGGCATGATTCTTAACACAGGAAGAGGTGTTCAAAATGCCTCCCGTGACCACTTCCTCCTTTCTCTGGCCCTGCTTCCTTCCCACTCAGTCCATGTGGGCCAGATAAGGCCCAGGGCAGACTGCAAAGCTCTGAGCTAAACAAACTCTTCAAAGGGCAGGGAATCTCCAGTGAGTCATTATTCAGACTTTAATTCTACTGAGTGGATCTTAAAAGGCCCTTCTATTTGCTCAGCTTGCATTCCCTCTGCCTCGGGCAAACAGCCTCCCTCCAAGGAGGCAAGGCCAATCAGCAGAGAGTGCACACGCCAGTGCCAATCTGCCACAGAAGCTGGGGTACAGCCCCGTGTAGTGGCTGCATAGGCCAGCAACTGGAAGACGCCTGGATCTCACCATCAAGAGTTACCCTCTGAGAGCTCAGCCAGGGCTCCATTTCTTCAAAGTAATCATATCCACAGCCTGACTTCATTTTCAGGAGCAAAATCTAGGAAGGTTCCAAGTGACACAGCTTCATGCTCTGCCTGGCACTCTCTGACATGGTGCCTTCAGAAGAGAGACTCTGGGATCAGGTATCCCAGGTGTGAGCTCTGCTATGTCAGTCACGAGTTGGGTGACCGTGACCTTGCTGACCACAAGGAGAGCATCTTTGCACACAACAACATGAGCATCAGCTTGCAAGACACAGATGCAAGACATTCCCTTCACTGGCGCATAGGCATGAAGAGATGATACCTCGATGGGGCAGCCTGTGCTCTATGCACAGCACCTTGGACTGACACCTCACTGGGATAGCCTGTGCTCTATGCACAACACCTTTGACAGGTACACATTCCCAGTTCTTGATGCTCAGCTTGTCACGAGAACTGTTGCAAACAGCATAGCCTTGGGCATGCCTGAATTCAAAGAGTATTTCCCTGGCCTCTGCTCAGCTCCTGGCCCTCTGTTCTCTCCTCACTATCATTCCCAGACCCCCAACCCAACCCAAATTACCCTGACCATCGGAGTGGATAGGACCAGAGCAAGAGCTTGCTGGGCCACCCTATGCAACTTCCTGCATGCCAACACTAATGAACTAGCTAACGGAAAGAGTGCACCAGGAAGGTTCCCAAGGAAAGATTCCCCTCCTCACAACAATGTTCCATGTGAGCTAGCTTCCCCCTACCCCCAGTACCTGACTCTGAGTTCCATGGAAACCTGACACATGTTTGCCACCGTGGGTCCCCAGAGCCATTAACCAGGGCTGGGGTATCAGGGTGGAGAAGGAGGAATGGCCTGGTTTCCCAGGCATCCTCAACTTTCTGGGCCACCACCAACTATGCCTCTTTGACAGCCTGGGAGAGTCTGTGCCTGGCCCTCTATGGGAGTTTTTCTTTGTATTTATTAACCCGCTTTCTCTCCTGGCAATCAGAGCATCGAGGAAACCTCAGCCAGGGCTATTCATAGGCCAAGGGCATCCCTGGGGAAAAGAATGAGTTCATAGCCACAGCACAGGTGCCAAGTGTAAGCAGGGTTCCCAGCTGGCCCAAGCCACACTGGGGAGTGAGGCTGGGAACTCCCGGGCTGGGCTGCGTCCATGTCTCTCCTGCTGTCCAGACTGGACACTCGAGCAAAGCTTTCTACCACTTGTGCCTGAGACCCAGGCCCTGCTAAGAGCAGAACTGGGGTCACGTAGTGTGATTCCACCCTAGGTCAGACCTGGAGGGAGCTGGGGAGGAGGAGGAGGGGTAGGGTTTGGCACAGTGACACGGAATATAAATGAGTCTTGTAAACAGAGTTTAATAAAAAGGCAGTGAGGGAATTTATGAGCAACCCAAGGATAATTAAAATTATTTATCTACTTACCTCCCTTGCTGGCTGATCAGTCTATTAATTATCTATTATGCACACGCTGATTTGCATTTCAGCGAGGGGAGGGGTAAGGGCAGGTGAGCGACACAGGGGAGGGGTGGTTTGGATCCACGAGGTGGGGACAGTAGGGACACCACTTTGGGCAGAGTGTGGCTTCTCTCTGTTGACCCCTATTCTCATATTACTTTCTCTCTTCCCGCCCACATGGGCTACCCTTGGCTACTGTGGCAGCTGTGGCAGAGTAGAAAGTGACACATACCTGTGTGCAGAACGGGCCACTCCTGGGACAGGTTCCCGCCAAGGAGGCCTGTGGGCCAGCTCTGGAGAGGCTGGCAGAATGTCCCCTGGTCCTTCTGATGTCACACTGCAATTAAAAAGAAAAACAAGAGAACGGTATCATTTCCGATCTCCTCCGATACCTGGGAGACATCAGATGCATGTAGTCCTGTGTTCCTGGTTTAAGATGTCACGGTGCAGTGGGAATTGTGTCTTCTGAATGCTGTGAATGAGGGAATTTGTGTGTGCGTGTGTGTGTGTGTGTGTGTGTATGTGTGTGTGTGTGTAACCAGGTGCTTGCTGCTCAGCCATGACTCTGGAAGTCGAAGGTGACACCTGCAAGGTGAGAAGATGTTATGGATCAGGAGGGTGCCAGTGGGTCACAACAGGACAGACTGACAAAGGAGGACCATCCGTGGATGGCCTCTCTGGCCTGTCTCCCACCAGGGATCCGTTATCCTTCCCAATCTGTACAGTTCTTCTGAGGTTGTGCCTTCAGTGTCCTCCCTGCTGCCTGGCTTTGTTCCCAAGCACTGGGTTCAACCTCAGTGGTAACATCACACCTCAAGGTACTAACAAGCCTATAGAGATGCCTAGCCTAGCCAGGCTACCCTTTCATCTAAACCTGCTGGAATCCCCTCCAGCTCTCCACAGACCCCCTCACCCCTTTTTACTGAGCTGCCTCTCACAGGTTACAATGTGGTGCCTCTTGCAATGGCTCTCAGCCAGACATTACAGTATAGGGCAAAGTCTAGAGAGACCGAGGACCTGTCTCTCTGTTAGACTGTGTCTGCAATGGGTAGATACAGGCCTTCTCTGGTCTGTACTTGGTGAATTCCCACCAACCCACATGATGAATTCCCAATGCCCAACTCAAGAGCATTCGGAGAAGGTTTTCATAAAAGATTAGCTGTGAGGGTGGCCCCTTCCTTTGTACGGGTTACTACCCTTTAAGCAGCCTTCCCTCTTCTGCATATTGTGATCTACTTGATGCAAGGTTTTCTCATACCTTGAACTTGGATTTCCAGTCTCTGCAACCTTGGATTTCCATCAGTGTAACCCTGGCATCTCACTAGAACAATCTAGATCCGACATTCTTAAAGCAGCTGTGTATGGTTCAGACACTTGTAAGTGGAAAGGGCTTTTGCATAACAAACAGCCTCACCCAAATCATGGTCTCTTCTTTGCTCCATCTCTCCTGAGCATTTCTTACCTGGCCTGCACCGCCTCACCTGGCCTGACAGGAAAATCTGACCTCAGGGCCCTTGCATATACTGTCCCTCCTCTAGAGGCTCTTCCCTGAGACCTCAAAATGTTTGACAGGATCTCCATCCTCATTCAGGTGTCTACTCAGAGAGCCTCTTTGAAGTCTTCCTCTGTCTTGTCTGCACTGTCATCTCATGACCCATGTCGTTATTTTAACATTGTCTGTGGAATCATTAGCAAGGACACCAGAAGCTGACAGCTTCCTAACAATGCACCAGGTGACCCCAAGTGTTTAGAGCCTAGAATAACACCCACAGGCAGCAGGACTCAACACATGGTGAATACATACATGTATACTCATGAACGAACAGCACGGTTGTCCTCAGACTCTGAATGTCACACCTTTAACCCTCACACGCATGATCATGCATGGGCACAGGAATTCCCACAAATGCATCACATACACACACACAAAGAGGAGTGAATTGCTTGGCATCTTTGTGGTGCCTTCAAGGCTTCCAATTAAGTTCCTATCCCTGAGGATCCGGGTTCTTCAGAGTCGCCACATCTCTCTTTCATGACACTAGCAGCCCACCCCCTTCACACATGAATCCATGCAAACCTGGTGCCTGCCAGCCTGCTCAGAACCCCTGCTGTGTTCCTGCTGTCACCAGATCAAAGCTTCTGCTGACCTTTCCCCATCTATCGCCCTAGGAATGGGTCCTGTATTCCTGCCCCCTTCCCCTGCATTCCCATATTCCTGAGAGAACATCTCCCCAGTGGCTGACCTTCTCCTGCCTGTTGAGGTTCACACAGCATGTGACTGGAATCTTCAATAGATTCTGAACTGAGAACCTCCCTTCACCCCTTCCTATATTCCTCATGGCATCTGCCCATGTCTGAAGCTCTCTATGGAGGGATTGTGCTCTGCCATCCTAGACGAGCCGGCCTTGTGCGGCCTCAGCTTCCACAACCTCGTGAAAGTTAACAGTCCATATTCATAAAACACGGTGGGGCGGTATCCTGTCACAGGCACTCACCGCCAGGCTCATCTGGTCAGATCTCGGGGCTGTGGAACAACTGATGGCCAGCTTTTCTGTCCACCTGGCAGGGTCCCTGCCATGTGCCCCGACATAATCTAGGTTTTTCTGGACTGATTTGGCATCTATGATCGGTTTCGTTCATGGGAGATGAGCCTCAGGTCTACACCCTGAGGCGGGCATCTGAGAGTGAAGAGGGAGGTGGGTTTGACTTGAGGCTCGGCTGGTAACTCTCACTGAGCCAGACCGCCCTTCTGCAGCTTCTCCTGAGAGCTAGCTATCAGATCAATCATCGGTCTATCTGTCCATCTGGCTAGCTAGTGGCTCCCACCGCTTCTTTTCATTGGTGAAGACACTTCCAGATTGGACTCTTAGATAAGCTGTGTCTGTCAAGAGAGTAGAAAAGCCTCTTGTCTATGTTCCTGCAGGAGTCAGGGGTAGGCTTCAGCAGTGGAAAATGGAGACTGAAAAAAACCACCAAATGTGCTCGAGGATGCTCGGGGATGCGGCTTCACAGTTGTAAATCTGGAACCCACTGGCCATCCTGACTTTGTGACCTCAGGCGAGGCTGCAATAAGGGCATTCAGCCTGAGCCACCTGACTCCCAAGCCTGTCCCCTCAGGACTGGGCACTCTGTGCTGTCTCCAGCCCTGCTCTGGCCCTAACCTTCTTGTCCCATTGCTTCTCAATCAACAATGCTAATTGTTGCAACACAGAGACATCACTCCAAATGCCCTGTACTGGGGCTGATTGTGTTTAGGATCGATTCTCAGGGCTGTGGGTACCAAGGTGAGACGGAGCCTCTGGAAATTAGGCATTCCAGGGAAGACCTGAGAGGCAAAGAGGAGGGCCAGGCTGCAAAGGAGGAGGGAAGATTTTTCAAAAAGAAAGCAAGAGGATGTCTGGAACAGAAGGAGGATACCGTGCGTCCTCTTTATGGTAGGCATATGAGTGGGTGAGGTTAGACCCTGCAAGGAAGAAGCAGACTCTGTGTGTGTGTGTCTATGTCAGGATGCCAGGACAGAACAGAACACTGCCCCAAGGTGTGTACAGATAGCACAGCTTGCTCTCAAGTGGCAAGCACCTTGCTGAGATGGGGACACTGAGACGCAGCAGGCTATCTTAACCCATCTTTTCTACAGAGTACTTGTGGTCAGTCTGGGAAAGCCTTGGCCCCTGTAGGAAGGAGACAAACCCCAGAGGGATCTTAAAGTTGTATACTTGAGATTTTATTGCCACAATAAACCGTCCTTGCACCCTGGAGGCATCCCTGGGCAGAGTGTAGGTGAAGACAGGGGAAAGGGGAAGACTGCTCCATAGCCTCCACCATGTGACTTGATGACAGCCATCACAGTGGTCTCAGGGGAACACTTCAGCCCAGAACGCTGGCGAGTACACCCCAAAACACACAACCTGCACTTTGGTAAAACTCGAGACTCTACTTGGATGACTTCGCCATCTTGCTCTTGCAGGCCAACTCCCAAGAGCCTTTTCTCCTACTTCTAAAACTCACAGGGTTCTCACATGGCCATACTGGCTGTCACAGGGGTAGAACAGCAGGGTGAGGGAAGTCTGGTGCTGTCCCCAAGGGCCTGATCAGCATAGTATCAGGCCAGGTGTGTCCAGGAACAGAAACTTCCTGGCCCTGCCATTGAGCATTAGTTTAGTGTGCGGGGTTCCATGTAGCAAGCTTCACTCAGTTATGTGTCACCCATCACCCCAAGACCCATTACTGGATCTTCACCCCAAGACTCCTTACAGGCCCCTGGAGCCATCCGGGGCTACAGCCTGTGCTGTCTTGTTTGGATGGAGGGGAATGGATAGAGACCTTCTATAGTTCTCAGAGGGTCGAGGATGAGGAGAAGGTGGGAGGCAGGTTTGGGGGGGGTTCTGTCTCTTCCTAATAGGAAGGCAGGATAAGGACACTGAATGTTAACCACTATGAACCACCAGGAAGCCGGGTCTGCAGTTCTGCAGATTGCATCACTTGTCCAGAGCTCTGGCTCCTTCATGGATGGGGGTGGGGGGCACACAGTGTCTTCGCCTTCTAGCAAGGTCACTTGTGGTAGTGGCACTTCTGAAACCTGGAGAGCAGAGCTTGCTCTCAACTTCCTGAGCCCATCACACATGCCTCGGCAACTGACCCTGCCCATCCTCCCATACGCTGGAGCTGTCACACGCAAAGCTAGGTAACTCTGGACTCTTGGTGTGGGAGTGACTCCAGGTCAATCAGAGATATCAGAATCTGGAGATGCTCTGGACCCTAAGATATCATGTTTACATAAAGCCTACGCACACTCTCTCATATGCATACCTGTGTTAATCTTCATTACATTTTATCTATTGTGTGTGGTTGTGGATATGGATGCGTGTGTCACAGCATTCATGTGGAGGTCAGAGGACAACTTGCAAGGGGTCAGTTCTCTCCTCTCACTCTGGGAAGCAGACTCAGGTTTCTGGGCTTCCGGCAAGCCTCTTACTCACGGAGTCATCCTCCCATACTTTTTCTGTATACTTCATCTATTCACTTAAAATAAGGTTTCATTTATGCATTTATTTACTCACTTGGTGTATAAGGAGGTGGATTCACTTTCCTGAGAGCGCACAGTAGGGCCAGAGGTGGCCCCGAGCGTCTCTGTCTATTGCTCTCTCATATTGAACCTGGAGCTTCTCGTCTTTGGCTAGACTGAATGAAGAGCGAATCCCTGGAATCTTCTCGCCTGCCTCTTCTAGCACTGGGATTACAGGCATGCACCCCTATGCCCAGCTTTTCATGTGGGTGCTGAAGGTCTGAATCTGGGTCTTCATTCTGCATAGGCACACCTTTCCCCACTGGGACCTC